AATTCACATTGATGAAGCTTTTTTTTTGTCATGATGAGCCAAAGTTGATTAGTTGAAAGAAACCGCGGTTTTAAAGCCTAATCAGGAAAACATTTGTTAAAAACTTTATTTACAGGAAAAATAGAAATTTAACTATTTTCAAATAATTTCAGGAATAACGTGAGCAACTTTATGTTAAATATGTTTAATATCTTTCTGAATTAAGATAAACTTTAAGGCATTTTAGTTGAATGTGCCGCAGTGGAGAGAGTTAATGTTTGCCATCTGTTCACCTGGGCCCTTCAAATCCACCCGACACGTGTGTTTGTTGGACAAAACATGGCTTTTAAGGCTTTATTTGATTTCTTTTATTTTTCTACCACAGATCGGCTTCTGCTCATGAGCTGTCATTTTTCTCCTTTATTCTTCCAATATCTGTAAATATTGGCCTTTTAATTTCCTTTTTCATTCTCATATTGTTGAATTAATTGGAATGTAACTGTGGCAGAACTCCAGCTTACATTCACACAATTTCTATTTAAAAAAGCACATTTGAAACTGTTCCACTTCTTTTTAACAAATATTAAGTTTTCAAACAGTAGCATTTCTCTTTCGACCTCATAAATTTCTCACCAAAACAAAAGAACCCACAGGAGCTGCCCTTCTTTACTTGTCTTTTTTTTAGTATCCTCTTCTGTTTCCTATCTTCTCCTTAGGCCATGTTTGCAAGCTACGTCCCTGAAATCATAGAGTTAATAGGAAACCGCAAGAAATATGGTGGTTCCTATAGTGCGGTTAATGGGAGAAAGTAAGTATTCAAGGAGGCTCTACTGCCTCCGCCGCAGTAGAACTTTCTCTGCATGCCCTTTTCTTTTTCTTTTCCATGCATGTAGGCCATGTTTGCTCGCTACGTGCCAGAAATTGCTGCTCTCATCCTTAATCGGAAGAAATATGGAGGGAGTTATAACTCGACCAGAGGCAGAAAGTAAGTCAATCTAATAAGGAACAAAAACAAACTTGTAATGGTGTGGTTTTGTGTGACTCGAGTGGCCCTCTCATAAAGAGGTGACACTCTGAATTCTGTTTGAACAAACATCATGAAACTTTGATTTGAGATGTAAGGATCTCAATCAGCCCAAAAGTCACACTGTGACTGAAGAACTTGGCCATGATGATTGTGTTGGTTTGCTACAGCTTTGTTTGTACAATCAAGAAATGTTTGCTTTTACACTGTAAATAAATCAATCTTAACAAGGCAATTTATTTTTATCATGGAGTCCTAAAAGTTTGATTCAAGTATGCAGGAATGGGTTTGTTTTTTGGGATGGGGTTTATAATTATGATTTATCTAGAAATTTAAATAGATTTTATCATCACACAGGAATTCAAGTGAAGACAAAATGCCTTGATAAGAAAGATATTATTTCAGTGTAATCACACATATTTTAGCTGCTTTGTTTTGGTGCTTAAAAGTGTTACATGTAGGATTTTCTCACTAATAGAAACTGTGATTATCCACTAAATGTAGTTGTAAAGCATGCTCTTCTCACATTGAAAAGCAGCTGTAATGACAGAAAAGATGATCTATATTGTTGGTCATCTATAAGTAACCCATCAGCAGCTACAAATCAAAGATTACATTGTGTGTTTTTTTCTATTTTGATTTGGCAGAACTAGAAATTTGGATTTAATGCACCCAAAAGCATCTTTCAGCGCATGTAGTGCTGCTGGCTTCAGCAGAATTTGGATAAATATAAGCTTTGTGTCCATTAGGTGTARAAATTAATTTATTTCATAGCACTGCGTTCTGCCTAAAGGGTCTCTTAGTCAAACACAACAATCTAATTATTGTGCAGCACTACAAGCTCAGAATGGTCGGAGGGAATTTGCAACAAGCATAGAAATATTTGCAGTTAATAAAATGCTTCAGGAAAAACAAAAAATTAATATTATAATTAACTGGCTAATATAGAAGAAAAGCTGTGCTATATATAACTGGCTAAAGCTGTGCTATATATATACACTTGTTGCAAATACCCAGCAGTGTTAAACACACATTCATCTTTTCACAATATTCTCCACTGGTTAAGTGTAAAAACAGAGAACTAAAGTGTTATTTATTCACAAAGAAATGATAAATTAATCACTGTATATCTGTATTTTGAGAAAATCCAACATGTTTTGTGGTGTTTAAAGGTGTTGAGCATTTTGTTCCACTTGATTCTGCAAATTATTCTCCTTTTTTCTTCTTCATGCACTTTTCCCTTACATCCAACCTAATTTATGTTTATCACACAGTTAAGCAAATATGCAATAACATTCTGCTTACCAGAATCTAAATTCAGGATTTAATTGGTGCATTTTATTAATTGAATGACAAACTGACACATTTTCTAACTAACAAAACAAAGGGACGTACTGGAGAGTTACACAGAATTTCTGTTTGCTCATCCTAAAAACTAAAACTCTTTCAGACATTTTTATGAATTTCTTTTAAGTTTCATGCATGTTCTCCAGTTTCTCTGCTTTCACAGATTAACAAAAACAACTCTTATATTTGGTTCTTTGTCTTGTCGCTTGCTTCACGCTTTTTTTTTAAATCTTGTTTTTCTCAGCTTGAAAAACCTGCACTGCCCTGCTCTGCTTGTTTACATGCCACGCTTTGCTTTTTGAACAGTCTTGGCCTTAATCTTCAGTCTGACCTACACCCTAAGAACTAAAATAATAATAACAATAATAATAATAATTCTTGGACATTGCAGGAATAAAATCTTTTTGCTTTCTTGCTGAAAGTTGGATGAGAGAATTGATTCTAGTCATGTTTGTGAAAAGATGTTGTATGAAATATGTGGGAAGTCAGATTATATCAGTCAGTGCACAGATTCAACTTTTACTCATATAATCAAATGGGAATTTTTTTCTTACTATTAAAATAATAATAAAATGGATAAATAAAATGGAATATAAACTTGCACTCTATATGAGTTATAGTAACATCTGTTTAGTTTTTAGCATCTAAATAAAATATCAAAAGATTGTTTTTAAATTAATTAATGGCAACAAAATAAGAGTGCCTACTTGTTACAAACTGTCACTGTTGCTGACTTGCTAAAGCTAATGAGGACAATTTAGAGTAATCACATTATGAAAGTTCTCCTGTTCTTAGAGTTGGTGCATGTTAATACAAAGAGAGGCAGTTTGCAGGTATCAGTAAGGTACACAAGTGAACAAAATTGTCGGTACTCCTTGTTTAATGGAAAAAAACACAATGGTGACAGAAATAACTTGAATCTGACAAGAGTAATAATAAATAAAAATTCTATAAAAATGAACAAATGAAAGTCAGACATGACTTTTCAACCATGCTTCAACAGAATAAAATATAGGGCTACAGATACTCACTGTGCTGTTTAGTGACATGGTGTGGGCCACACTCAACATGGACCAGAGGAAGAGAAGGAAAGRGTTGTTTCAGGAGATAAGAAAGAAAATTATAGACAAGCATGTTAAAGGTAAAGGTTATAAGATCATCTCCAAGCAGCTTGAAGGTCCTGCGACTACAGTCACACAAATTATTCTGAAATTTAAAATCCATGGAACTGTAGTCAAGTGGCCGCAGGAGGAAAATTGATGACAAATCAAAGAGACGATAATTCAAATGGTAACAAAAGAGCCCAGAGAAACTTCTAAAGGGATTAAAGATGAACTTCAAGCTCAAGGAACATCAGTGTCAGATCGCACCATCGCTCATAGTTTGAGCCAAAGTGGACTTAATGGGAGACGACCAAGGAGGACACCAAATCATAAAAAAATCCAGACTGGAATTTGCCAAACTACATGTTGACAAGCCACAAAGCTCCTGGGACAATGTCCTATAGACAGGTGAGACAAAAATGGAACTTTTTGGAAAGGCACATCAGCTCTATGTTCACAGATGGTAAAATAAAATAAAGCATGTGAAACATGGAGGAGGCTCTGTTATGTTCTGGGGCTGCTTTGCTGCATCTGGCACAGGGGGTCTTGAATCTGCAGGGTACAATGAAATCTCAAGACTATCAGGGATTCTAGAGAGAAATGTGCTGCCCAGTGTCAAAGCTTGGTCTCAGTCGCAGGTCATGGGTCTTGCAACAGGATAATGACCCAAAACAACTAGAAACACCCAAGAATGGCTAAAAGGAAAACATTGGACTATTTTGAAGTGGCTTTCTATGAGCCCTGACCTGAATCCTATCATTTCTGTCCAGGCCTGTTTCATGAGTTTTATTTATATTCTGTTGAAGGATGGTTGAAAAGCAGTGTCTGACTTTCATTTGTTCGTATTCATAGAATTTTTTATTTATTATTACTTTTGTCAGGTTCAAGTTATTTCTCTCACAAACAAGGGGTACCAACAATTTCATTATGTGTGTACAATTTTCATCTAGGTTCAGATCCAAACTGTTATTTCTGCTAAAATGCACTAATCATTCAGTGGCTTTGTTCTTATCTAACATCCTGCAAGAAAACACCAAAGTATTTTTCCCCGAAATGTCAAAACTGTAACATAAACTTGTGCGTCTTTTGTAGTTGAAGATCTGAAGACGTTACAAAAGACAAGAAATTCTGCTGAGTGCCTCCATGCTTGAACAAAATGTGGCTTCTGGTATCATGCATTTCTAAACTCTACTATTTTTATATGTTTATTGGTAGTTTTGTAGTAATTTCAAATGTTAATTTTAGAGGTCAAATTATAAGTCCTTATTGATCCAATAAATGAAAAATATACAAAAATGGGAGCTGGCTGACTTTTTTATGTGCTGATTTATTTTGTCAAATTAACCAGAATTTCTTAGCAGAATCAGTTTGTATTTTCACTGGAATAGCTTTAAATTGAAATATTATGAATAATTACTTTTCCTTTCTCTTTCTTAACTGTCTTCTACCTTACTAATATCACAACTGTTATGTTTTTATGTTTGCATGTTTTTGTTTTTTGCTTACAAATAACACTTAAGTGGGTTTGCTTGTGAAAGTCATTACAATTTCTGGCATCTTTAAGTCTGTGTTTGTTATTAAAATATTTAGTGRTAAACATGTAAAGCAGAGGTGTCCAGTCCTGGTTCTTGAGGAATGCTACTTTTGCTCATTTCCCTGCTCCAACACATCTGAGTCGGTGACTGAATTACCTCTTCAAGTTCTGCAGAAGCCTGTATCAATCATTTACTCACATCAGGTGTGTTGGAGCAGAGAAACCTCTCAAACTTGCTGGAGAGCGGACGCCCCTGATTCAAACAGATTTCTTGAATCTTTTTTTAAAACAATTAATAATAAAGACAGCGTTAAAATCCAAACTGTATTTTTATGTAAAGGGACTAAATGTAGAAATCAAACCAGACTGTGAGCTTATTTTATAATCTCCATCCGAGTAAAGTGATCTTTTTAATCTGATACTGAAATCCATAATGCCCTCTGACCTTCTCATCATTTAATGTAGCTGTTTTTATTTCAGATCACTCCTGTGAAAGTCCCTGATCTCTCTCAGCTTTGTGATTTTTAAGAAACATTGTTTGTGTTTTAACCTTTTTTATGTCTTGATCGTTTCAGTTCTATTATTATTCTGCACCTCCTTTTCAGGCACATTGTGGTCTGTGGTCATATAACACTCGAGAGTGTGTCAAACTTCCTAAAAGACTTCCTACACAAGGACAGGGACGATGTCAATGTAGAAATTGTTTTTCTCCATAAGTAAGTGCCAAATTTATTTCTGCACCTGTGTTCTTGGGAGAAAAAAACATGTTAGTGGAGAAAATGCCATCTTGAATGTTTTAATTTTCCTCTCCTCAGTATTTCCCCTAATCTTGAGCTGGAAGCCTTGTTCAAGCGCCATTTCACCCAGGTAGAGTTTTACCAAGGATCTGTCCTAAACCCACATGACCTGGCCAGAGTCAAGGTAACACATAATCCTCTTCTAGCTCAGAGAGAAGCTTTAATTTGTATTTTAATGTTGTGTCATGATTGGATAACTATTTTTTTCATGCAATTTGTTTGTAGATTGAATCAGCTGATGCCTGCCTGATTTTGGCGAACAAATACTGTGCTGACCCCGATGCTGAGGATGCATCCAACATTATGAGGTCTGATTGTTTGGCATACATTTACTGTGTTCATGTCTCAGCTGTGCTCTGCAGTCWTTCTGACACCTGGCAGYGTTTCACTTTGAGCTTATTTTGCYATCATAACATAAAATACAATAAAAACTAATTTTAATAAGTTTGTACATAAAAGTCTATAAAAAGCAGGATGGCTATGAATGTATTTGGGGACAAGGTGCCCGGTTTTCTGCATCAGTATTAGTAAGTGTAAAAAGGTCAATATGCAAAAGAGCAGAGTTCAAACACAGACAGGAGAAGCTGTTTCATGTTCTGCACTTAAATGATAAAGCAGTTTATTTGTGAATTCATTGATCCTTTTGTCTTTTTAATCAGAGTAATATCCATAAAGAACTATCATCCAAAGATCAGAATAATCACCCAGATGTTGCAGTATCACAATAAGGTATGTATTTGACTTGTACAGTAAGGAAATATTGTACTAAAATAAATGTTGTTTAAGTTTGATATTTTTACGTTTATGACTTTTCCTGTTTTTTTTCCTCCCACCCCCTCTGTAGGCCCACCTTTTGAACATCCCAAGCTGGAACTGGAAGGAGGGAGATGATGCTATTTGCCTTGCAGAGCTGAAGCTCGGCTTCATTGCTCAGAGCTGCCTGGCACAGGGCCTCTCCACCATGCTGGCCAACCTTTTCTCCATGAGGTCCTTCATCAAGGTACTGACTGYTAAGATGCCCCACCTGTAATCAAATTGAAATGTAAACTTGGTTATAAAAAATAATCAGGAAAAGATGCTGATTTTCCCAGATCAGACCTGTAGGCAGCATATGGGGAGTTAGTGGGGATGCATCTGTTTCTGTTTTTGTTGTAATCAGAAGTTTTTCTCTGTTGCAGATTGAAGAGGACACATGGCAGAAGTATTACCTTGAAGGAGTAGCTAATGAGATGTACACAGAGTACCTTTCAAGTGCCTTTGTGGGTTTGTCCTTCCCAGTAATTTGCGAGTAAGCACAAAAACATTTTCTTTTTCTGTTTTTTTTTAATTTTCTGAATAGCTGTTTTCCACATTATATATTTTCTTTTTCATATTTAGTCGTTTTTGTATTCTGAATTACTTCTGTTTTGCAGACTCTGTTACGTGAAGCTCAAGTTGCTCTTGATAGCYATAGAGTACAAGTCTGATCAGAGAGAAAGCAGGTAGGTGGATGTGCTCACAGTAGATTGTTAGAGATGTTAGAAATCGTGAATTAATACCGAGATGTGTTTGCTGTCAGTATTTGTTCAGTGATGACACGGCTTCAAATCAGCGTGTTTGATCATAAACAAATGCTTTACAAAATGTGAGATAACTGACATCTGAAGTGGTTCAGTAAAACACATCACAGCTCACTCTGACAGGATGATGAGGAAGAGAGCAGAAGGTTTCTTTGGAGACACAATAGCTTTGTTTTCATTCTCATTTTTACATTTTGAAGCGTCTCTTTTATCTGATTTAAACTAAAGCTACCCTGCCAAACAAGTCATACAAGCCACTTTGACAGCAACATATCACTGTCAGTAATTTTCTGCTGATTGATCATCTTGGGTCTGCTAATTCTCGCAGCACCCTGATCAACCCAGGGAATCATGTGAAAATGCAGGAGGGGACATTGGGGTTCTTCATTGCAAGTGATGCCAAAGAAGTGAAGAGGTAAGGGACGAGACCCGGTTCTTTTAGTGAAAGTTTTCTTCACATGACAACAAATAATCTAAGAAAATATAATATTCACTAAGTTAGTCAGACTGCCTTATTCTTTCTCACTTTGTGTTTGACAAACTGGGATTTAAAATGTTCCTGAGACTATTTCAAATTAAATGTTCCTTGAATCAAATTAATCCGAATCTACATTTAATGAGGTCTCCTCCTCTTCAAGTGAAATCTTCTTTTGCAGAGCGCTGTTTTACTGCAAGGCCTGTCACGATGATATAACCGATCCCAAAAGAATAAAGAAATGCGGATGCAAGAAATGTAAGTTTATTCACGTAAAACACACAAATATTCCTGCAGAGGCTAAAGCTAAGTTAGCAGAGGAGCAGTGGTGTGACATGTTTATATGTCTGAACTCTTCCTGTTTAAACCACTTAGCTGCTGCATTGATGATTCTTTCCATAAAACCCTGTAGCGGATGAGGAAATGCCCTCTCTGAAGACATCGTTTAACCAAATTATAAAACCACTCATCTCCTCATGCATTTTGTTTTCATTCAGCAGCAACTTTCTCTGCTGTAACGCTGTTTATCATTATAGTTTTGATTGAATGGTGATGTTCACAGGCTTTAGGAGACTGAACAATACAGGTAGTTGGATTGAGGAAGTTTTTAGATTAAAATAAAAAAATTGATATTTTTTTGCTTCAAATTGTCTTGTTATAACATATAAACTTCATGTTCTATGTCATCCTTTCTTGCTGCTTTGGAACGTGCCACACTTAAAAAAAAAATCACTTTTTAGTGATATATTGTGAGTAATGAGGATTTGTATGGGTTGGAAACATGACAGTCTGCTACCTGCACCCCTGATCGACGCGATCTGTTTGAATGCACTTTTAAATGTTGCATGTCCAGTGATGGTTGCTGCCTGAACTCCACATCTTTGTTGTTTATATTTCTTTTCAATTGAAGATTTGAACAATATTACCAGTTTTGGGAACTAAATGAAAACTTTAAAAAGTATTTAACATTATTGTATTTTGTTTGTTTTTGAAAAAAGTCCAATGTATTGCTGCATTTCTTTCAAAATGATTGTTGACACAGTTTCTAGTCCTCCAACTCACCACCAGAGGGCGCTGCAGGCTGATGGCAAGAAGAGCAGCAGCTAGAGAGCCACTGGGATGAGAAATAAGGAGTATTTCTGCTTCTTATGGCAATTTTTTTAATGACAATTTCATTAGATGACTGCAGTTTCTCTAAGTATGCGTCATATTGAAAATATTTTGAACAATCATTATAATGTAACTTATTCGAGTCTTGAGATTTATTTATTCTCCATCCATTTTTGTCAAATTTCTGAATTTTTTTAAAAATTTTTACATTTGAACCCTTTTTAAATTCTTTTACAGAATAAGCTTGTTTTCATACTTTTGCTTATATTTGCTCTAAMCTTGTTTAAACAAAAAATGAGCTATCTTGCCTGTAGTAAAAGCATTAAACCTTTAAAATGGCATTTTGTTCACATGTGCAGCATCTCATCATATAACAAGCACAAGCTTCTAGGGGTCATGTTTAGATGAGGGGAAGGGGTGAAGCCAGGAAGTCCTGATATGTTCAGCTGGTGATTAAATTCAAGCTAATCTGATTTGACTTGATGTGAACAATGGAGGAAAAGTACATTTTTGTTTTCTTTTAACATGTGCCTGCTGTCRCAACAAAGCAGATCTTGGTGCTCCCAGCAGAAGCCGTCGTTTGCACCCATTTGTCTGCTTTTGTACACTTCTCCTCCAGAACGAGCCTCCACATTAACCCGYTCTTCCTCTCCTCTCGTCTGAACCCATGACTGTAGCCAAGAAGCCCAACTACAAGAAAATGCGACTGGCATGTTGTTTTGATAGCGGCCACTCAAAACGAGGCTGCTCTTGCATGCCGGTTAATGTGCGTTGTAACTCAGACTCCCCTCGACGGAACATCCCACTCTCTGCTGTCTCTGTTAATGATTGCTCAGCCACTTTACGTGCCTGTAAGTTGTCAACATGACATGTGCTCTTTGGTGTTTGCGCTGTGTAGTGTCTTTTCAGCCCTTGCTCTGTCTGGCTCTAGCTGCTGTGTCGTCACTGTTATGGATATACGTGTGGCTTTGGCCTCCTGACTTTGCTCAGTCAGCTGGTGCTTTTCTTCCCTCTGTGTCACCACTTTTGGAGGTGATTTCTGGCTGTTGTGAAGCATGCTGGTTGACCGTTCTGTAGTTTTCTTCAAAGCATTTTGGTCTGAATGGACCCGTTTGAGTGAGATCAACTGATGATTAAAGCAAATCTTTGCAGCGACATCACCAACATGTTTATAAAGAATAAAAAGCCAAAGCAGTTCACATCTGTGCAAAACCTAAACGTATAGTGTTTGAGAATTTAACTACATTTACCCAAATTTGATAATTTATTGGTGTAAAATTATTCCAAGGGTGTCACTGGAGAGAGCAACATCCTGTTTTCTGCAAAATAAACTAAATCATCTTAATCTGTCACTACACTACCCTCTAGAAAAAAGTGGTCAATGTAGGGTTAGAAATATTTTTMTAAGTAGATGGCACTGATAATATAAAATAAAATGCTTTTGAGATGATCTTGGGGGCATTTGGGATTTCAGTGCATATTGAGGTTAATGTAGTGGCTTTATTAAATTAGGATGAAAWGCTTGAACAAGCTCTGAGGGTAGAATCAGCAACACATTCAACGGACAAACCAGGGCTCCATTTGTCAGAGTTAGAGGAAGTATTTTTACCTTTTTGCTTCATGACCTTGAGTCAAATGTGTCGTAACTCGACTGTATTTGGTGCAAAAGAGKTGGATTTTAGAAGGACTAAAAGACTGTGACACATGGCTGAATAGTAATGAATTTGAAATGAACTGCAAGAATTCATAATTCCAATGTGATTTCTCTTTAAAGCCTGAGGGTTTTGTTCTGATGCATGGCAGCAGGCAGAATGTGTCTGAGGTTGGGCAGCGTTAATACATTTAGCTGGAAAACATTTTACACTGTCATACGGTTTTAGTAAATGTCTCTGGATCAAAGACAATTCTGTGCAGAACTGAGGGTCTCTGGGCATTTCCACCCCTCAGCACGTCTCCCCGGGTTGTGTGCTGTGAGATTTGCCCGCTACCAAAGCTCGAGCGTAGCTCCAGCGTTGCTGTCGACACGGTGTGGAAGACGCACGGAACAAGGCCTTATACAGCCTGACATGAAAATTATGTTTGCATTTTCATTTTTTGAGTGCTACCGGTTGTCATGAAACTCAGCCTGACAGTTCCTAACCACCAGGCAGCCAAGTCCCCCGCCCCTCTGCTTTACTCCGGTTGTGGGACAGATGCTAGCCTGTTAGTCCTGCGACTCCGCTCACGCCCTCCGATTGCAGGCGACAGATGCCAGGACCAGCAAAGGTCCCTGTTTGAACATTTCTGTCACTGTCCTGCCTGAAGCCTAATACGTGACCTTTATTGTGAGCAAGAGGTTGAAATAAGTCACTAATGAGCAAGTGTGGGATTCACGAACCCCAAGAAGTGACTCACAGAAGGTTCCACACAGGTTCTCCTGAGCGAAGCTGGTTTAGAAAAACACACACAGATTTAAAAACATTGTGGACAAAAGCACCTTGTAAATCTTGGTACATAAATCATTCATTGGTTTTTTTATTGTTGCTGAAAACCACATCTACTGATCTGATCTTAACCACATTTAAATTGTAATCAGTCTTTTTCTGTACTTCTGTAAAGTAATAAAAACAAGTCTCTAACTGAAATATCAGGAGAAATAGCTGAACAATAAAATAAACTTGTACCTTTTCCCATTTGAATAATTTCTTTTTTGCTTTGTTTTAGCAAACTAGAACTGTTAAAGTCTGAATTTTAAGCTTGGGATTTAGATCACAAGTTTTTCATATTTAAAATATTTAAAAGAAATCTAAATTATAATCACTGCCAAGTRGATTGTTTCTGAAAATAATCTTTACAAGGAAAAAGGCCATTTAAATTCAAATAAAGTCAGCTTGAACACCTAATTATCTCTTAATTTGCTTTGCTGTACTTAAATGACTTGTGCTTTGGTTTACCTTGCTTGGTCCACATTGATCTCTGGGCACGTCTCTATTTTTCCTGGGTCTTATAAGTGAACTTCTTCAGTTTTCAGTTTTGCTGTTGTCATTTAAAATTTGGTTTCACCATGAACTGTTTATATGTGTAACTCTGTGTCTTCCTTTTTGTTCTTTTCAGCTAAAAATAGCTATAATGGATATATCAAATCAAGTAAGTTATGACGACTTCTCTCTTTAGTGTTTTGTCTCTCACACTTCCACATGTGCATTCTCAGCTGTCACCACCTGATGTGTCTCTAACCTGCTCTATCTCACTGTCTGCTCTGTCATCATCCATTACTGTACACTAGGTTCCACGCAGAGCATTAGGAAAATGTTTTCTGTTGGGTGTCATTTACAGCTCAGCAGTAGATGGAGCTACTGCTTCACTGCTGGTGCAGATGAATWACCGTAAATCATGAAACACATTTCAAGTGAATATTTAGAAAATAAAAAGTATATTAAACGGCACTTGATTTCTGCTAATGAGCCTAGCTAAATTGATGTTTTTWAAAAGGAAAATAATGGAGCTAATACTTTCTATCCTTGCTTAGCCATCGTCTRAGTGTCTCCACTTGAACCGGGTCTGTGCAGAGAATGTGCCACATTGTGTTGTCCTGAAGAAGTGTTGTTCATGTTTGACATGAGGCAGATATATACTGGAGGTCTGAAATGGGGAGGATAATCTGCTAGACAGCTGACTGTTAAAATAATCATCTCTCTCCTCCAATTTTAGCCCAAAGACATTTTTTCCCCTCAACTAAATAAGCATCCCTTTTTCATTGTWTTTATTTTCACTAGTTCTTGCCTCGGTTAGAAACACTGGCAGTTACTGAATTATTTCTCTTCTTTTGCATCATCCTTCTCAGCCTATATTCAGTTGAATACACTACAAAGACAAGCTATTTAATGTTCAAACATATAAGCTTTATTGTTTTTATTTGTTTTATTTATTCTTTCTCTTTTTTTGACTCATTTTGAATTTGATGCCTGCAACATGTTCCAAAAAAGCTGGGACAGAGGCAACAGAAGAGTGGGAAATTTAAAGAGCGCTCAAAAAAAAAAACTCCTGTTTGGAGCATTTCACAGGTGAAGAGGTTAACTGGAAACAGGAAAGTGTCATCATTGGGTATAAGGGAGAAGGGAGCATCTACATCTACACCCAGAAATGCTGCCAGCTTCTCTGGGCCCGAGCTCTTCTGAAATGGACTGATGCAAAGTGGAAAAGTGTCCTGTGATCTGACGAGTCCACATTTCATATCATTTTTGGAAATCTGTCCTCTGAGCCAAAGAGGAAAGAGACTGTCCAGATTGTTATCAGTGCAAATTTCAAAACCCAACCTGGTATTGGGGGTGAGGAACATGTTGCAGACATCAGATTCAAAATAAGTGAATATTTGCAAAAAGAAAAAAGTTATTAGTTTGAACATTAAACGTCTTGTTCTTGTAGTGTATTCAATTGAATATAGGTTGAAAACGATTTGCGAATTGTATATTTTGTTTTTGTTTTACACAACATCCCAACTTCATCAGAACGGGGTTGTAGAAATAAACTGCACACAGCAGGTTCTGACTGGTAATTCACAGCATCTACATTTGCTTGTGACAAAACAATTGCTTTAACACCTGAAAGCATGTTTATTAATTCATATTTATAATAAATTTCAAAGTAAATGTCAAATAGAACATTACAGCTTTGGCAATATGAAGTGGTTAAGTGGCGTTAAAGAAAAATGAGATATATTTCTTAAATTATTCAGCTATTAGTATTCTTGTGCCAGAAAGAGTTATCCACCCAAACCAGTGATTGTCCTTGAATTATTAAGATGTCTTATTAGCACATGCACTGGAGGTCCTATTGTAGTCAGATTAAATCAAGTCACAACTTTCTGTTTCATTGGAGGAACTGAAGGGTTTGTTCAATTAAATCACAAAACTAGCATTTATTTATTTTTTAAAAAGTCTATGATTTTATGCTTTAGGTGAGCGTTTTCACGTTGCATAGCTGCTGATTTTGACTCCTCTTCATTTAGATATAAACAACAGCCCTCTAACTCGGTCATCGCCTTCTCATAAATCAACTAAACTGAGCCAGAACCCAGGTAACCAGGTCTGTCCGGGGCCCCACAAAGTTGCTGATGTGTCCCTCCCTTTGGTAAACAATCGCAAGGGAAGCCTACTGCCTCCCACYAAGACCTCTGGTCTGAGACTGAGCCTCAGGGGCTCCAGGGACCTGGCTCAGGTCAGCAAGCTCCCAGGTTTGGCCGAAGAGACCAGCCAACTGAAGTGGGCACAAAGCCTGCCAGTGAAATACAGATACCATCCCAGTCACTCCAGCAATACCACAATCAGTCAGAGACAGTGTAAGGGCCAAGCCTATGCCCCGCCATCACCTTCCTACCCTTGCTGTGCCTAACTTCCCATCCACAGAGCTTTCTCAATTAAAAAAATAAGGTGTGGAGTTCCAAGCTTTTTAAACTGCATGAAAAGCTTTTGTTTTGTAAGCTAGATTCACATGCAGATTAAACTCACTCCCCTCATAGTGAAGGCATTACTCATGTAAGCGTACATCGTTTCCAGACATCCTTCACGTAAATCTTGGTTTCCTGAAATAACTTTTACTAATTGGCATTTTATAATGTTTCTGCACAATGCTCTAAGACAACTTTATTGTATACTGTATAAAAATAACTGCATCAAATTAAAACCTACAATGAAGCATTAAGCCTAATAACCTAATTTTCACTCTAATTAACCCCTTCATTCATGTGACGAAAGCATCTTTTTGCTGAGCCAGGCCTACAAAGATCCTAATGACTCTCCTTTGTGTGGACAGTAAATTGATCTGCATTTGAATTTATCTTGCTTAATGGTTGTTATGCAGTTTAAAATCTTCTAGAGAATCCACATTATCCATTTTTTTAAACTGAGAAAGCTCCCCAGATGGGAAACAAAATGTCTAACAGAATCGAGGTCCAGATACTTTGTTGTTTGTTCTTTAATTTATTTTTGTCTCCATTTACCACGTCCTGGATGACTGAGAATCTACACAAACACAACACAACGAAAGCATGGGCTTGCCAGGCTGGAATGGTTACATGTGTAACATTCTTTACTAATGGCCCAGTCCGCGCAGCTGTCAGCTGTGAAACATTAAATATTGAACAGGCCGAGCAAATGTGAAAGGCCCGAGTGTTGGAGCGTCCCTCTCCACTGGACGCCCTGTGTATTACAACATTTTTCATTATGGTGTCAGTCTTAGTCATGCTATCAGTGCAGGAAAACATGTGTTCATCTGCAGGATGTCATCATCTTTTTCACCTTAAATCCAATGAATGCATTTGTAGTTTGTCCCCATGTTCAAAGAAAAAAACGAGTTCACAGCTTGAAGCGTCACTAAAAAGATAATCAAGTGTGTTTTTAACCACCTGAACAACCTGTAACAAGCTATTTCCACTGAATGATGGCTGTTAAAGTGCCATTACTGAAACCGTTTCTCCTGCTACTTGTTTTTTTCTTCTTCTTTTGGCGACTGCCTGAGAGTAGTTTTCTTCATGATGTCACCTTGTTAAAATATTTGCCTGAATACTTGACCCGTGGGTAAAACATATCCTTCACTCAGCACAGCTCAGTTTGGTGAAGTGATAAAGACAATGTCCGAGGGGCATCTCAGCTGTACATAAATCACTCGGGCAAGAGGGCCAACCTAATTATACGAGCCAAGGGCACCACTCCCATGAAGAAAGACCAGCAATTGTAAGGGGATTCAGTACTGGCACAAAATAGGCCTCCCTTTGTAGTGCTGAATGAAAAATTGCAGGTTTTAACATTAATTAAATGAAAGCCTGTTATCCAATTTTAGATATAAATGTGTATCTTTAATGGAATAATAGTGTTAATGTTGATCAGTGCTATAGCATCTTCATACAATTGTACAGCGGGTAAAATAAGTATTGAACACGTCACCATTTTTTCTCATTAAATATATTACTAGAGGTGCTAATGACATGAAATTTTCACCAGWTTTCAGTAACAACCCAAGTGATCCATACATACAAAGAAATCAAACCATAAATGTCCAGAAATTAAGTTATTTGTAATAATGTGGAATGGCACAGGGAAAAAGTATTGAACACATGAAGAAAGGGAGGTGTAAAAAGGCATGGAAAGCCAAGACACCAGCTGAACTCTCTCAGTAATTAGAAAGCAAGCCTGCCCCTTGTCAGTGCAAGTTAATATCAGTTGGTTCAGTCCCAAATGATGGCCAGGTATCACACAAGAACCATCTGATGATGGGTAAAAGTAAAGAGCTCTCTCAAGACCTTCACAACCTTATTGTTGCAAAGCATAATGATGGCATCGGTTACAGAAGAATGTCTAAACTTCTGAAGGTTCCAGTGAGCACTGTTGGGGCCATAATTCAGAAGTGGAAAGAACATTATTTCACCATAAACCGACCACGACCAGGTGCTCCTCACAAGATTTCTGACAGAGGAGTGAAAAGAATTATCAGAAAAGTTGTTCAAGAGCCAAGGACCACTTGTGGAGAGCTTCAGAAAGACCTGGAATTAGCAGGTAAGTTTGTTTCAAGAAAACAATAAGTAATGCACTGAACCACCATGGCCTGTATGCACACTCACCACACAAGACTCCACTGCTGAAGAAACAGCATGTTGAAGCTCCTTTAAAGTTTGCTGCACAACATTTAGACAAGCCTGTGTAATACTGGGAGAATATAGTCTGGTCAGATGAGACCAACATTGAACTGTTTGGATGCCAGAATACACATCATGTTTGGAGGTCAAATGGCACTGCACATCAGCCCAAAAACACCATACCAACAGTGAAGTTTGGAGGTGGGAACATCATGGTGTGGGGCTGTTTTTCAGCATATGGTACTGGCAAACTTCAAATAATTGAAAGAAGGATGAGTGGAAAAATGTACAGAGACATTCTTGATAAAAATCTGCTTCCATCTACCAGGATGATGAAGATGAAACGTGGCTGGACATTTCAGCAAGACAATGAGCCCAAACACAAAGCCAAGGAAACTCTCAGTTGGTTTCAGAGAAAGAAACTAAAGCTGCTGGAATGGCCCAGCCAATCACCTGACCTAAATCCAACAGAAAATCTATGGAAAGAGCTAAATATCAGAATTCATTGAAGAGACCCACGAAACCTTCAAGATTTGAAGACTGTTTGTGTGGAAGAATGGGCCAAAATCACACCTGAGCAATGCATGCCACTAGTTTCTCCATACAGGAGGCGTCTTGAAGCTGTCATTGACAACAAAGGCTTTTGTACAAAGTATTAGATAAATTTCAGTAAGYGTGTTCAATACTTTTTCCCTGTGCCATTCCACATTATTACAAATAACTTHATTTCTGGACATTTATGGTTTGATTTCTTTGTATGTATGGATCACTTGGGTTGCTACCAACATCTGGTGAAAATTTCATGTCATTAGCACCTCTAGTAATATGTTTACTGAGAAAAATGTTGACGTGTTCAATACTTATTTTACCCGCTGTATGTGAATAAGTAGTTCTGTTTTATGTGTGGGAAATAAAACATTACTTTAGTAATCAGCATGAGAGTTTATAATTAACTGTTATGTTTGTATCTCCATATTTAGTCACGCTAACCATGTACAAATGTTGGAGTGTTATGTACATGTGTCTACACAGTATATTTCACCCTGTGCATACTCTTTCAATACTCTGCTGTTTCTAACTTTTTTTGTCTGACCGTGATGTACTTTGGTTTGTTTTCTAACATTTCTCCCTGTACACTGTTGCAGTTGAAGAGGACCAACAGTCAACGCTCTCCCCCAAAAAGAAGCAACGTAATGGAGGCATGAGAAACTCTCCAAACTCCTCGCCCAAGATAATGAGGTAGGAAGCCAGTATCTTGTGGAGCACATCTTGAAGAATATTTTCCGTGCCCACTCTTTCATAGAAAAAAAAAAAGTCAGCTGTGCCAATGCCACATGGTTTCATGTGACATACAGAGGCTGGAGCTCTTAAACAGGTCTGGCACTAATGACAGCACCTAGCAAAGAGACAGGCTCTAAGGACGGATAGCCTGAGGCTATTCATCTATTGTCGGATCCCTCTGAGGTCTTTTCAGCACGTAGGACCACAGATGATATGTATCATCACAATGAAAGGTGAATTCAAATGCTACCTTGCTTTTATCTTGTCTCATGAAATTAAACCAGTGCTTATTGATCTTGACTAGAGATAACACTGTTATTCAACAAGAACCCATTACTGGAATGATAACAGTAGTAGTCATTGTCATTAAGTGCCAGCTTATAAGGAAGCCATGCAACAGGGAGGACCTGCAGCCTGATGTTTACAACGTAGTGGAGATGTCATTTAATTAAAACGGACAAATGACTTTTTGCTCCTTTTCCTAATATGGCTGCTATTTGTTTGACATTTGGAAGTCAAACCCACATGTCTTTATTGATTCATACTGTATTGTACAATACACATGAGTAACAGTTTGTGGTTAGAAAACTGGCTTTGTTGCATTATAAATAAAAGTATTTATTTGCATCATTTAGCATTTTCTTTGATCTAAAGCCTCCAGTTTTTCAGGTGGGTGTTTGCCCTTGTTTGATTTACTTCAAAGTGCTGTTCAAGTTGAATTGCCGCAGGTGATTTCCAGACTCTTGGGTAACAAAACCCAAGCTTTTCCAGCACTATAGCCATCAGCTAAATATCAACCCACCAAACTGATCTATCTACTTGCCACACTAATACACTGCAATACAGGTGGACGTGTTATTCCTTTCAGCACCTGCTGTCTGTGGAGGGATTCACTGCAGTAGCCTAAGGGATACTTCATTGCAACAAGCAGAGAGAGGAAAAAAAAACATCTGGGTGTATACTATATCAAATGTGTTTTTATAGAACCTGCGGCCTCAAGGCCTTTGTAAATAAGTAATGATCAACAGATTGGCTGTGGGTTTTGAAGAGCAAGCCTTTGTCGGTTTGCATGAAGTGTAGGGTTTTTAAAGACTCCTCCAGTGCTAGTGTAAGCTCGGGCAAGCTAGTGCAGTAATAATGAAATAGAAGATCTACATAAAGTATGTGATCGAGTTCTATTTTAACTTTCAGCTGTCACTGCATACTGTACTTCTAGCTAGAAAGCACTTGGCCTTTGGTTTTACGATTATGAAGTGTGAAGTCCTGTCAAATGTGTCACACTAAAAACTGAAGTATTGAATCATCCAGTTTAAATCTCTAAAAGTTCCCAAAAAATAATACAATCAGTGTCATTAAACAAAAGTTTGTTGTTTCTGAGAAAAGGTTTTAGATTCAGCAAATTGCACTTCCTGTCTGGTGCTTAGCAATGATGCCCTCTCTGAAATTAATACCACTTCCACAGGCTCCTTGATGGGTCATAAGACACATCTAACTGTGGCGTGTCAAAATGTGTTTGGTCACATCCAAGCGCCTTGACATACACGTCATGTCTGCCATGGCGCTGCTGAGGCAATTGGCGGTGTAGGACAGTGACGGGCCATCATGGCTGACAGTGAGCGATAGCTATCCTGGCAGAGCTCTGCCTCACCAGTCATCTCCACAAGGACGAAGTGAAGTGACAGCAGCTCCACTGAGTGAGTGCTGAAGCATTTGACTTTTGATGAAATATTTAGCTGAGGTGTAAAACCTCTAAGTACTTTCATTCTTATTGGACAATGTCTCAGACTTAACAAAAGCTGATGATGAAGTAGAGCATAAACTATAATTTACGATGTTCACATACATTTCCATTTCATTTTCAGTTCCACCACGTTTTAGCTCAGTATCTGTAAAATTGATTGGGTTATAGCTATTTTCGAGTTGGCTGATGTTGATTAGCTATGGATGAACACCCAATCATTACTCGGAGTGTTTCATTAAAATTCATAAAATAGTTCATGAGATATTTTGCTGACAAGCAGACATAATTAATTACAATATTAATGGCAAAATTTTAAAATGTGTCCCATGCCATTAGTTTGTGCTTAGAATACCTTAGCTTTGTCTCAATTCATGGGTTGCAACAGACGTCGGCCGCTTTTGTCGGCCACTTACTTCACTGTAAGCTACATTCGAGTATCCTACGCGACCGACAGTTTCCCAGAATTCATTGCGCCGTCAGCAAATTAAACAGAAAACTGACAGCAAAGGTTTTCATTTTATTTTATGGCAGATTTTTTTTCTTTCTTTTTTTATGACAGAGCTTGGAAATTTATCACGGACTGAAAAATGTAAGTTAAACAACTTAGCTGAAAAAAATTTTTTTTGCAATGAGATGTTAAATAAAATGCAGTTACATTTACTGATACTGGAGCTAAACCCCAAATTATTAATGCTTTTTATTTGTTTACTTGTAACATTTTTTTTTATTAAAAGTGAAATTTGTGAAGTTATACTGTACCTTGAAAAACAGAGATACCTGGCAAAAACAATATTTCACAATGAGTGATATAGAGTATGGTGGTTTTAATTCTAATGGATTTGGACAGCTTGAGTTTAAAGTAAACTTGACAAATAGAATGAATTGTCCTATAATTACCTCTAACCTCTTTTAACAAAGGATTTAAAGTTAGAGGTTTGAGTCAGTCTGAGCTGTTATCACTCATGCCAAGCAGCAGTGACATGTTGTAGTATTGTAGACATTGTGCAAACCACCAGTCCTGAAGTCAAAAAGTGTGTTAAAAAAGAAACTGTCTTGTAGTCTTCACAAAGTGTTCACCTTTCAAACACAGTATTTCACGTTTTTCAATGTATAAAATATTTTGTGTGCACAGAATCTTGTTAAATTAAAACCACATCCGCTGAGAGGTTTGAAAGTGGCAGAAAAGACATTTCGTTCTTCAGCTCAGCCTGTTCTAGAAAGGACATCCAGGTCTTGCCTCGGGCCATATGAGCCTAAAGGCGGGGGGTTGGATTCAGTCTCTTGCAGCCGGAGGGATGGAAGTTTCAGCTGACACTTTCATGCATACTTAACTTGTTATTTTAGGTGGCATTCTTTTAAAGTACTCAGGAAAGATGGGCTTTGTTTATGGGGAGATGATTTGGACAATTTTAAAGGTTTATGACGGGGACAGAAGGCTGCTGTCTGACTTTTCAGAGAAGATCTTTAACCGTGAACCTGATTTAGACAGTTTATAGTGCAGAGGATTGTTGAGCAGAACCAGCTCTGTAGTTACTGCTGTCACATACAACACTGCTTTTATGGAGTTGTTGGAAATTGTTTCTTTTATATTTAGTATTTTGTCTAATTAGGCATTAACTTGATATAAAAAGCATGCAAGATGTCAACACAAAACTTCGTTTAGAATCAGTTTTTTGGTTGTATTTAAATTGCAGATTAAACTATTCTTGGTGGATCAGGTCACAAGTTCTCATATGAATATTTTAAGTTACATGCCTAGTATATTTTAACAACAGTGAAAAGATCTTTTCACTCTGACCAGAACAAATGTGGTCTGACCACACACTCATGATGACAGACCTCTCTAACGATCAGTGTCAGATAGGCTGGACCTCAACACCATGCTCAGTGAAATTAGTTTATATCGTTCTGATGATCTGATTAAACATTAATACCCCTCACTTTGGAAAGCAAATGCAGTCGGGCAAATTGCTGAAATATTTAAAGTCTGGTCTGTTAAAGCTTTTACCCTACAGCACACTCCCATCAGAAGCTGTATGTGGTAAGGGGGCATAATTGCATCTCCTTGCTCATGCCACTCAATGCAGTTTGTTGTTGTCGTCTCCTTCCGCCTGGTTGCTGCTGCTGGTGATGACATGGTAGTTTTGGTTGACATTTCCACTGATGACCTCTGACAAGCAATGAGCACTGAGTAAGAAAATAAAATACAAGTGATTTGTTTCAAGAATTGAAATCTTTTATATTTTATTTATTAAAAATAGTTAGGGTAATGATATGATATGTAACTTTTCTCCAGCTGAAGTGTGTGAAGATGATCTGTTATTTTCTCTCTCTTGCCTTTCGGTTCAATTAGACATGACCCACTCCTCATCCCAGGCAGCGAGCAGATTGAGAGCATGGACGAAAACGTAAAGAAATATGACTCAACGGGGATGTTTCACTGGTGCCCATCCAAAGACATCGAGAAGGTCATTCTGGTAGGTCCTGCCTCTTCACTCCAACACACTTCATTTGTCCTTGGCACTCCACTCTTCAGTGACAGATGTGTCTTGTCACAAAGCACCAAAGGTTGACAGGGCACTTAAACACACTGTAATGAGGTGTTTGACATGTCATTTGCTCTGCAGAGGCCATGTACATAGAACACTTTTTTGAACTAATACATATGCCATTTTTCAAATTACTTTCATATACTGTTGCCATCATGAGCCGCATAATGTTCCACAGGGTGAGCAGGCTGCAGGGAAAAAAATAAAGCACAAACATTTGGTACTGTCATGAATGCAATTTTTTTCAGCCTTTTCTTTCCTTTTCAGACCCGAAGTGAAGCGGCCATGACTGTTCTAAGTGGACATGTGGTTGTGTGCATATTTGGAGACGTAAAATCTGCGCTGATTGGTCTTCGTAACTTTGTAATGCCTCTGAGAGCGAGCAACTTTCACTACCATGAGCTGAAACACATTGTGTTTGTTGGTTCCCTGGAGTATCTAAAGCGAGAGTGGGAAACGCTACACAATTTCCCCAAAGTATCCATTCTGCCAGTGAGTAGAACAAACTTTAGCAATTTTTGTTTTACATCTCTAAAGTTTACAGAACTCAATATTGAGAACTTCTAATCTCTTGAATGGCATACAGGAGGTGAGATAAATTCTTTCCTCTTCTTCACAAAGGGTACACCGCTGAGCAGGGCAGATCTGAGGGCTGTCAACATAAACCTCTGTGACATGTGTGTCATCTTGTCAGCCAATCAGAACAATATTGACGATGCATCACTGCAGGACAAAGAATGCATCTTGGCGTCGCTCAACATCAAATCCATGCAGTTTGATGACAGCATTGGGGTCTTACAGGCCAATTCTCAAGGTAAGGAGCACCCTATCATAGTTCAATGCACTGCCTGGGAGGGACAAGGCTCCGGCACAGAAAATATTTCTCACTGCGCGCTGCATGGCTGACCTGTTGTTGCTGCAGTTGACAGTAAACCCTACTGACTATTCCTCAGGTTACTGTAACAACTGGTTACTTTCCAAACCTTATTCGCGGGAACATGCATAACACTGGCACAAAACCTTGCCTGCCATTTACAACCTTTTGTTTCAGTAACTGGACTTACATCCTCAATCTTAAACAAAGTTGGGATGCGTAAAATGTAAATAAAAACAGAATGTGATCATTTACTAATCTCATAAAATCCATATTTTGTTTGCAGTTGAACTTGAGCCACGGGATTAGAATTATCTGGGGACCCCATGCAATAAATAAATTACTCCCGAGTCTGTTTAAGTGGAACATTCACACAGGATAACCGAAGCCGGAGATTTTGCTGAAATTTATGTACATCTCCCAGATATATGATATTGAAGCCTGGTATATTTGACGCGTTGAACACGGCGAGGGTGCGCGCGCCCGGCGCGAGTATCCAAAGCGCCACTATATCCCAGCCTGCGCTGCACTAGGGCCACAGCTCAGCGTCAGCCAGAAGGCTACAAACGGATTCAAAAATTATTCTTGCCACACAATGAGCCACCATTTGCATCTGCTTTTGCTCCTTCTCTTCAGCCTTTCCTTTTTGATGCTGCACGTTAGGGGTCGTGTTTTGTCGGCCCAGGACCTACAAGATTTTCAGTCCAATCCAGCCTTCATTCTTCACCAAAAGCAAATAAAAATGTGCCCAGGGAACAAAAACAATCTAATTACATATCAGATTCAGACCAATCCCATCCAAATCACAGAGATGCCTCTTCACATTGATTTAGTATTATCACAGAACCTCAGAGTTCAACGAAATATAGTAGGTAATTTGCGGGGGAATTTTTTACTTTACAAATTATTGACATGGCCCATTCGCATGGGATTAACACAGACAATCTCTGCAATTATTACAAATAGCATGGGGTCCCTAGGTAAAACTAATCCTGTCAGAACAGGACTATAGTAAACATAAGAAACTACCGTTTTAGGATGAAAAACAAGGTAAAATGGAGTTTAATTGCAGCAACACAACTAGAAGAGGAAGAAATGGACATGTTTACCACTGTGAAGCATCCCGTCTGTAAACATGTAACTGATCTGAGAACTGAGGGTGAACATTGTGGAAGAGAATTTGGCCCATTTTTGTTCCATGTAGGATTCTAGCTGCTTAGCTGTCCTCTATCATCTCTGACAATTCTTTTTAGTTTAATGAGTCAAATGTTTTTAAATAATGTGAAGCCTGGACTGCCATCAGGCTAGCTAAGCACCCAGACATGTAGCCATGCTGTAGTATTGATGCAATTTGTTTATACTTTGACTTGTTGGGAGTACGTATTGTTTACAATAAAATACAGTAGACTATACGGGTTGATGAGATTTGTAAATTATTGCATTCAGTTTTTATTTACATTTTACACAATGTTCAAACCACCAAATATGGTAAGACTTAGTACAGAATCACTTTTTTAACTTGTTAATATTGTATGTTAGAGCTTTCAAAATGACAACTAAAGCATTCAGTTAGCATCAGATGGTCCTCAGTGTTAGCATTTAGAAATAAAAGAAATGCTTTTAGAAACCTTTTGACCTAATTGGGAAGCAAATAATCCCTGCCAATTTCATTCTTCTTCTAATACACATTTGACTTCACATTTGCCTTAGTCAGCAGTAAGTGATGGATGTCAAAACATGGTACATGTATAATACATACAACATCACTGATTTAATGTGCTTACTTGTCAGTCTGAGGAAAGCAAGAAATGTCAAGTCAATTTGAATTCAATCTTGCATCATTTATTTTCTTTCATGGCTGCACAGGGTACATGCTTCTTCTGCATGTGTGTAAAAGGTTTCCATCTTCATGCACACACAGTCAAAGGAAAACAAAATGAGCCGCATGTCACATCTATTATATATGAACTAATATTGGTCTGTTACAAGAATACAGCAACGCTACACTCAGCAAGTTTACCACTAGCTGGGAAAGGATGAAATAACCCCAGTGTATTGTTTTTTCTGTTATGCCTGATTGGATCTTCTGATAAAGTGCTGAATATTGTAATAATATGTTGTGTGTGTGTGTGTGTGTCCATCCGTCCGTCCGTCCATTAAGGCTTTACTCCACCAGGAATGGATAGATCTTCTCCTGAAAACAGCCCAGTCCATGGATTAGTAAGGCAGACCTCTGTCACTACTGGAGCAAACATCCCCATCATAACAGAACTAGGTAAGGCTTGAAGTGTTTTTGTAATCAGACATTTTTATTTCTGTAGTCATAGAGGCTAACAATGTGTGCTTAACAGAAGTAAAAGTAGAGTTTTTCTGTGTGTTTTGCCTTTGTTGACATGTTCCAGTAACTGTTTCTCCTCAACACTTGTCTAGCACCATTAGCAAAGCAAGGCAAAAAAGTGCCTGTGATTTCATTCAGTCAGGATAAAAGCAGTGGGACCAGCATACAAATGATAACTGAGCTGGGTAAGAACTGCCTGTGTCCTGTGCTGCAGTGTTGTAACTGCTGCTGCCTCCATATCAGCTTTCTTTTGATTTTTCTCACTGCACAAGAGACTCGGTCCATTCCCATGGCATCACTTTGAGCATATTTTCTACCCTTGGTTCTGGTTGAAATTGCCTGTCTTGTTTTGGCCCCCTTTATCTCAAAGCAAAATTTCTCCCTTTTATTTTTCTAAGAATTACAGGGCCTTTGAACCCTCAGAAGTCCTTGTGGCTGTTTTTGTAGCATCTTCTGTCAGATCACATTCTCTGGCCCGTGCCCTCCTTTCATCTCGGCTCTGTCGATATGAGTGGCATTTATTTCTGTCCTCACAGAAGGAGCAGTTCTCCAACTAAATTTTACATCATTACTCTCTTCCAAATACTGCATGTGTTTTTGTGCTCAAAGATATCTTTAAAGAAGGTTCTGGGGCAATGAGTTACTTTCATTTGACCTGACATGCAAGTACAAGTAATTGGAAGTTCTGCCTTGGATTTACAAGGCAAACAATAGCATATTGGTTTTACTGATTCTGACCTTAGGAGGGCTTTGAATTTGAGGCCTGGAACTTTGACAATATGCATGGTGTCATGAATGTGCATGAGTAGCCTGGATATGGAATGTGGCAGAGGCAAGTTTGTTGAATGCAAATACCAAACATGGTTTCAGTTAAATGAGGAGAATTTGTTCAAATTTGTAGCAAATACATTTAGTGCATACTCCCAATACAGTCCATATCTGCAGCTTCTGCCTGTTGTGCACAACCACTGTATTTTGTGTCTTCCTTTTCATGCAAATCAACTACTTTGCTTGATCCATGCTTGTTTGAAACCAAACCAATTCTCTAAGAACATGTTTTTGTGTACAGTAAGCAAACAAGCAGACTTTGAATAATTCATGAAATGTATATTTTCGCCAACAGTTAATGACTCCAATGTTCAATTCCTGGACCAAGACGATGACGACGACCCAGATACGGAGTTATACCTCACTCAGCCTTTTGCCTGTGGAACAGCATTCGCAGTCAGCGTGCTGGACTCCTTAATGAGTGCTGTAAGTCAGAAATGCTTTAGTGAACAAACAAATCCATCAGTATAACAAGGGGACGATAAAGACAGAAATGTCTTGTGTTTTGATTTAAATAGAGTACCTCCGCCACAACTGAAAAAAAGGAGTTAAAATCGTAAATGACAAGGCTGGAACTTGTAGTGGTCATTATAGCTTCATTTGTCTGCCTTTCAGTTTGAGTGAGGTTAGAACAAAGCTGCCTTCAAGTGCGCTCCAGTGTAGACAAAGATAATGCAACCTAATGGACAGCCCTCATCCATCATCTTAGTCAATAGTGCTGTCAGCAGCCAAGGGAGATGTCACTTTGAAGCAGAAGCGTGGGGAGAAGGGGGACCACAGTGCAAAGGAAAGGGCAAACATTTCCCCTTGTTAAAATCAACAAGCCAATAACTGGAAGGCATTAGAAAGGTAACATCTACAGCACACAGTATGGCAGAGAAGGGATGGTTTTCATGTAATTGATTGGAAAAATATCCTAGGAGAAACACTGGGTAAGATGGTACGAGCCAAAATTCAGAAGGTTCATTTGTGACTTTGGTGACATTTGCTTAAGGATGTTTTCCCTCTAACTTTATCCCTTCAGACATACTTCAATGATAATATCCTCACCTTGATCCGGACGTTGGTAACAGGCGGGGCGACGCCGGAGCTCGAGGGGCTGCTGGCTGAGGAGAATGCATTACGTGGAGGCTACAGCACGCCACAGACCCTGGCGAACAGGGACAGGTGTCGCGTGGCACAGCTGGCCTTGTACGACGGGCCCTTTGCTGACCTCGGGGTAAGTGAGGGGTCTTGTCAGCCGACTGCTGAGGCCATCTTTGTCATCTTGTATTATGGAAGATGCCTTCAATTGAAAGATTCAGACTTTTAGGGTTTGCTGTGTTTTACAGTTAAAATTCAAAGCAACAATTGTGAGTGAATATAGCTCTTTGATGTTTAATTGTTTAAATCTGTATAACATGGTAATTGTAGGAAATATTCCAAATTACATATCTTAAAAGAATGATGCACTTTACACATAACTTTAACCAATTCTCAAGCTAGACAGCTGCAGATTGTATGCACTAATTTCCACGTGATCAGTTTGGATTTGTGTTATCAGTTTAAAATCACATGTTAGTGACTTTGTATTCTGCTCATTACTCTAGAGTTGATGGATTGTGGCTAAGATAGATACTTCTTAAAATAGATCACAATATAAGCATTTCATATTAGTTGATATTGATAACTCTAGTGGCAGCACTGATGCCTCACATTAAGAAAGTTCTGGGTTCGATCCCCAGTTCAGACCTGGAGTCTTTTTGTGTGGAGTTGGCATGTTCTTGTGCTTGCATGGGTTTCCTCCAGGTTCTCCAGTTTCCCCGACAGACCAAAAGCATGTGGTTGCTTTCCCTTGCAAAAGGGGGTCACTGGTCTCAATGAGATTTGCCTGGTTAAATACAGGTTAATAAAATAAAAATATTGATTAGTTTTTGTTTTACCTAAATGGAAATAAGGACCAGGAGTTAAAAGGCTGGCTATTTCTGCCAAACTGGTGATGTGGCCTTTCCTCTTTTATCCACAATTTCCTCTCTAGCTGTTTCATTCATTTTCTCCTTTCATTCCGCATGGTGGCCAAACATGATTACTCAACTGATTATTGCTAGCCTACCAAAGAGCGAGTGAGTTAGTTGTTGCCACCAATTTTGCTTAGCTGAGTACAGAGGTAGATCATCTAAAGCCTTTGCTCTGCCTACATCCCCCATTATGCTGTGTGGTACTGGATGCGAATTTGGAGAAATTATCAACATTCTACTTGACAGTGTTTCCACTGATATTGATCATGTGTCTGTCACAATGCACATTATTTTTTTGTCCAGGCAAGACATCTTGTTGGGGGGAATCCCAACATAACTTTTTTACAGCGGGAGGGGGAAATTTTGAGGATTTATTTTCTATACGTGTTTTAAAACACTATATTTCTTCATTTATTTTCAGAATATTTCGAACTCCTGCTCAGTTGTCTCTGCACTCGCAGCCATGTTGACACAGGTGCGATGACGTAACTGATGATGGGACGGTAGAGGGTAAATTTCTACCGTAGGCCAACTTCATACTGTTTCTACCATCTACCACATATACCGTGCCAGGCAATAATGTGGTAACAAGATATAATGCACTGGACACTAACTCAAGATCAATAGAAAATAATAATGTGCATCATGATAGGTACATGATCAATGTCAATGGAAAGTTGTCAAATAGAATGTTGATCATTTCTCTGAATTTCCATCCAGTAACGCACGGCATTCTAGGAGATGTAGGCAGAGGAGGGACTTAAAATGCAACACAGTTTTCTGATTGCAGGTGGGCCATTTTTAAAGCTATGCTTGAATTATCTTTTTGCAGGATGGTGGTTGTTATGGTGACCTGTTTTGTAAAGCCCTGAAAACGTACAACATGTTGTGTTTTGGCATCTATCGATTGCGAGATGCTCATCTGAACACACAAAGCCAGTGTACCAAACGGTGAGTAAGGGTCCCGACTCCTATATGCTCAATAGATATTTAAACACTTAACATCTAATCTGTTTCTCTTCCAGGTATGTCATAACCAACCCACCATATGCATTTGAGCTGGTGCCGTCAGACCTGATATTCTGCCTGATGCAGTTTGACCACAACGCTGGCCAGTCTTGGACCAGTCTTTCGCACTCATCTCACTCTTCACATTCGTCAAGCAAAAAGAGCTCCTCTGTCCACTCAATCACAACTGCAAACCGAACGAATCGCACCAAAAGCAGGGACTCACGAGACAAACAAAAGTATGTGCCCCTCTAAAGCTCTCTGCCTGTTTGTGTCTGTGACCCGTGCCTGCCACCAGTGTTGTCTTGTGTGTCTTCTTTCAGGGTTCGGACAGACTATACCACTTGCCGTTGATGTATGTACGTTTGTCTGGATGTGCATGTTTTTGTCACTTGTACATCTTTGTTTAAGAATGACCCCTAACCCAGGTCTGAGTAAAAAACTGCCAAGGCTTCTGTATCTGTTCAGGCTTTACATTTTCACTTTTATTCCATCTGTCAGCTATCTTTTCTAAACCTTGGAAATGCATCTAAAATCTACAACATATTTGAGTCAAATTCACATGTAGAGCAGAAAGACTCAATATAAATACTTCCTGGTAATTCAACTTGTGTACATAATTTTTGTATTATCAGCCACTATCATTTCAAATTACAACAGTGGCCTTACCTGCAAAACATTGTTTTATATTTGACAACACCCTAATTATGCAATTAAAAGGTATACTGAGTGAACAAGTTCATTTAGCTTGACTGCAATTTTGTGTTAAAGCCTGTCTTCTTACAGACTATCACTTTTCCACCTTCTGCTCTAAGACTTGTCTGTGTTTTACTTAAAGCTGAACCTTTATTGTACTTGAATGAATATGTCTTAAATCATGTCTATGAATTATTGCACAGCCTATCCCCCAATCCCTTTATTTACATTAAAATGATTTACTTTTACCTGTCATAATTCTTAATAAAGTCACAACTAAATTTTAATTGTTTTTATATGTTTTCTTTAAGTTAATATTCCAAGTCAAAGCATTTTCATTCCAAGTCAAAGCATTTTCAATTGATTGGTATTGAGGTACGTGTCTGTGGCCACCCAAGTCAGAGAAGGATGGGGCAGACTGGCTTAAGATGACAGAAAAGCAACAGTAACTTAATGACCACTAATTACCACCATGGTATGCAGAATACTATCTCTGAACTCACAACACGCCAAACCAGATGGGCTACAGCAGCAGAAGACCACATTGGGTGTTGCTACAGTTCAAACAGGCTCCACAAAAATTCAGCTATTAGGGATGGAAACAACTTTGCCTGGTCTAATGACTCTCGTTTCAGTCGACTCCACAGGTACCAATACCATCATGTCAATATGGACTAACATCTCTGAGCAATATTTAAGGCAGTTCTAATAGCAAAAGGGGGTGCAACCTATTAGTAACGTAGCCAGTAAGCGTATTTGACTTAGTTTGTTTTGTACTTTGAAGTTTGAATTTCAGAGTCGCAAGTAGGGAAAACCAACTGGAACTCCCAACATCGGAATTCTGAGTTCGAAAGACAGGTTTACCTGCACCACCTTCAACATTTAACAAAACAGCTGCACACCATACCACTATAGCTGAATATTGCTGCAGAGTAATACTTCCCTAATGCCCTGTTTTTCTGACCACAACAACTGGCAAATCTTGTTGGGTGTGACATCCTTCCAAAATCATGTTCTAACTTCAGAGGTAAATGGAAGACTGCATGTGTTGTCTAATGTTTTGGACAGAAAGCATGGCAACTATACATTTTGCTTTATGAAGATACAGTAAGTGCCTCCTTGCTGTACAATAAAGACCAAGCAGACCACCAAGAAACGATGTACTTTATCAAAAAGGGAATCCAGCAAAGATGAGGACACCATTAAATCCAACATAAGCCTGTTCTTCACAAGATGGACTAACCCAGTTCTTAGGCCTCAAAGTTCTGTCTTGGTTTAGCTTCTATTTGCACTTATTTGAGAGGGGTTTTGCTGTAGTGGGACATTTAGTTGTTCTGAATGTCATTTTTTTACACGAGGTTGTTTGCTTGTGGCCAGTCTTTTACGAGGCACTGAAGTTCAAGAAGATACTAGTATAGAAGTTTAAATCAGACCAGTGTCTGAGGCAAACAGCTTCTTCTAATCGTTCTGATTTCAACCCCAAATTGATGCGATCAATTCTGGAAACTGGCTGTTATAGAACACCTATCTCTGTAAAATGCAGCCATAAAGAGAAGAAGCTCACTTAAAATCTCAGCTGGAGGTTTATTAGTGGCAGCAGAGGTACTTGGCACCTATTAACACAGGACAAAATCAGAACTAATTCTATTCTGACTGGTTTGCAAAACAGCAACATGATTACATTTTATGGTCACTATTTTACACAATATGCTCAGTGCAAAGCTTGCCCTGTTTTTCAACAAGCTAACAACGCTGGTGTGTGCAGTTGTCAAGTAACATTTTCCACTTATTTTTACCTACTCTAAGTAAATTTGAATATTTTTACATTTTTCACTTGGAGTTTTTGCAAAGAATATTCCAAGTAAATTTGTGATTGCTGTCTGTTGACCAGTTTCCTAGTCTTCATGGCTGGTCTGTCTCGTCTACAAATGCCTCAACGCTTTTAATTTTTAAACTCAGAGTTGGAGGAGGTATGCAGATGACAAGCATGTTCTTTTACTCTGTTCATTACAAATAAAACTCACAAATCACAGCTGTTTGAGTGGCCACCACCAGCTTTTTATGATCAACTATCTGATTAATACTCATTTGCTTAAATGTGATAATTTAAAGAATAACACCTAATAAAATGATGCTTATATTATTTGACATGTTGGCTGCATGCTTCTCTGGGTTGTACAGCAGATTTCATCCTAAAATGGGACATCCTTCCAGCTGCTTTAACACAGGCATGAAAACATGACAGCTGCTTAACACCTTTTAAAAGCTAAATACCTAATAATAGCGCTTCACAATGATTTATTTTTGTTGATTTAACTTACTGTTTAACTTGCTCTACATTTTATATTAAATGACGTGAAGCATTTACTGCTCCTACTCATGCTATGCAGTTTGATATTAATGGTCACAGTTCCCATTTAGCTTACATGTAGTACTACTTTCTTTTTCTAAAGTGCAACAAGGATCAATAGAGTGGGGCAAGGTATGGAATTAAGTAATTATGCATGATAATGCACTGAGCACGGTCATGTACTCACTGGCATTTTGCCCTCTGAATGGAAGCACAGCAGGTTTAACTGCATGGATCTAACAACCTGTGCAGCACATCTCACTGTAGGTTTGACTGCAGAACGTGTTTGCGACTGAATGTTTTGATGCTATTTCACTTTAATCCATATCATGTGATATTTATTTACCGACATACATGAAGGTATTGTACCAAAACAGTTTTTTGTCTAAGTAAAGAAAACGCATGACCACAGACAGACTACTCACTTCTTTCTTCAGAAAAAGAAAGATGCATTTAGTCAAAAGCCTGATTCTCTTCATAAAATAAGTATCTGCATAAGTGTACAGTACAATAGAGAGTACAATAAGAGAAGACACGTTAAATTGGTGATGTGCATGCCTGCTGACCAAAAACAAACAAAAAAAAAACAGCATGTTTCACTTGATGAGTTATACAACCCTCATTTGTTGATATTTTGCTTCCAAGGAGGCAGAATTTTTCCAGTTTTGAGGATCTTTCCAAATGTTTTTTTGGACTTTGGTTGCTTTTTAAATACTTTTTAGCCTATTACCTGATCTTTTTCAGAAACACGTTTGAAAACGTAATGTTATGCATATAACTACTGTTCCCTGAAGGAAAGGAATGAGGTACAACACATCATGTATGGGAAACCACGCCCCTGCGTGTCCTGGCTGAAGCCACCTCTAATCACGCCTTTAGGCAGGTGACGTGATGACGACAGATGTCAGGCTCCGCCTACACATATATATACGGTCGCCATCACAGTCACTCCTTAGTTCGGTAACTGCTCTTCACCGAGCCCAGATGTGCAGAGGGGCCACCATGTGTTGTACTTCGTTCCTTTCCTTCAGGGAACAGTAGTTATATGCATAACATTACGTTCCCTTTCAGTCAATACACAACACATCACGTATGGGACATTTATAAACGCCCCGCAGAGCAGCACCAAACTTGGGTCATGCTAACATGCTAGTGCAGCACTTCAGATCCAGCGGAGAGCACAGAGTGAGCCACCGAAGGGGCTGTCACATCTAAGCGATAAAACTGAACAAATGTGTGCGGTGAAGACCAGCTGGCCGCAGCACAGATGTCACTCACAGGTACCCCTTTAAATAGTGCCCAGGACACTGCTACACCCCTGGTGGAGTGAGCTCTCACACCAGATGGGACTGGGAGACACCTGTTGCTGTAAGCTAAAGAGATAGCCTCCACAATCCAGTGGGAGAGTCTCTGTCTGGACAGAGCCCTGCCCGAGTGGGTTAGCAACACACACAAACAGCTGATCACATGACCTCACCTCCTGTGTGCGGTCAATGTAAATACGCAGTGCACGTAGAGGACACAAAGAATGTAACCTCCTCTGCTCCTCAGATGCAAAGGAGGAGAATAAAAACTAGAAAGCTCAATAGACATGGAGCTGTAGTTAGAAGATATCACCTTAGGGAGATACGCTGAGTTTGGATGCAGAACCATCTTGGAGCCATCAGGTGAAAACTGAATACAGGAGGGATTCACAGACAGAGCATGGAGATCCCCGACCCGTTTAACAGTTGTTGGTGCAAGAAGCAACACAACCTTATGTGAAAGGGACTTCAAATCCATAGACTCCAGGGGCTCAAAGTGGGGGTCACAGAGAGCCTCGAGCACCACAGTAAGATCCCAGGTAGGGATACTGGGTTTAATAACAGGCCGCAGCCTACGGACCCCCTTSAGAAAACGCACTGCTAGAGGATGAGCACCTGGCGTAACTCCATCAAAACCCACATGGCAAGCAGAAATAGCTGCCAAGTAGACTTGATTGTGGAAAAATCAGACCTTTATCCAGCAGCTCCTGAAGGAATGTTAAAACAGCCACCATTGAGCACTGAAACGGGACAATGCACCTAACCTCACACCACTGCTCGAAAGTGTGCCATTTGTAGGTATATAAACCTCTAGTGGAGGGCGCTCTCGCGTTCTGGATAGTTGCCACCACTGCCGGGGGAAGGCCTCTGGCTAGCAAGCAGGACCTTTCAGCAAGTAGGTGTGCAGCCTCCACAACTCTGGGTGTGGGTGAAATATCTCCCCCTTGCCTGAGAGAGGAGATCTTGGCAAAGAGGAAGTTACCAGGGCTGAGCAGCCAGCAGGCTGATTATCTTGGCGCACCAAGATTTCGCTGGCCAATGGGGCGCCACCAGAATCAGAGACAGAACCTGTCTGTGCACCCTCTCCAGTACAGGCAGTATCATCTCCACTGGGGAAAATGCATACAGCAGTACGTTGGGCCATGGGTGGGCTAGAGCGTCCACCCCTAGTGAGGCGTTCTGATCCGCTATGGAAAAGAACAGAGGGCAGTGGGTGTTGACCCCTGTGGCAAAGAGATCCACTGCTGCCCTGCCAAACAGGTTCCAATCTGGTCCACCACTGAGGGATGCAGCCTCCACTCCCTCACTAGAGGCCCACCCCTGGAAAGTAGATCTGGGCCCAGATTCAGTCTCCCAGGAACGTGAGTGGCCCTGATAGATAGGAAATGCACACTGCACCAMTGCAAGAGAGTGTGAGACAGTTCCAACAGCGGGAGAGACCGCGTTCCCCCTGTCTGTTTATGTATGACATTACAGTCGTGTTGTCTGTTCTGATCAGAACATGTTGGTTCTTCAGAACCGTATAAAAATGTTTCAGTGTTAACAGAACCGCTAACAATTCCAGGCAGTTTATGTGGAGTCTGGACTGCTTCAGAGTCCAAACCCCCCTCACTGCCGCACCATCGCACAGAGCCCCCCCACCCCACCAGGGAAGCATCTGTGGATACCACCTTGCGAAAAGACACTCTCCCTCGGTGAGCTCGGCACAGCAGGCCGGGTTCCCTCCAAGGGCAGAGAGACATCATGCATGAGGCAGTTATCGTTAGCTTTCTGTGGCGGTGACATAATGCACACAGCCGGTGAGAGCGAGACCAGCGCTGAAACAGGCGCATTTTTAGCAGGCCGAGTGGTACTATTGCGATCATAGAAGCCATCATGCCCAACAGTTGCAGAACAGTCTAAAAACGCAGTTTGCGTCCCAGTTGAAACTGAGCGAGGCAGTGGTGAAACGCAGCTACTCTGTTCTCTGAGAGACGCGCTCTGCCCGACAGGGAGCAATATTTCTAACCCGAGGAAAGAAAACTGCTGACTCGAAGTCAATAAGCTTTTCTGAAATTTTACAGAAAAACCCAGAGCCTGAATGTGCGACAAAACCTGAGACAGATGCTCTGTAGCCTGCTCCTTGGAGCTGGCTATTAGTGCCCAGTTGTCCAGGTTCGCTAACAGGTGGACTTCCTTCTCCCTGAGAGGAGCTAACGCTGCTTCCACACGCTTTGAAAAGGTGCGGGGTGCTAGCGACAGACCAAATGGCAGTACCAGGTATTCGTAGGCAATGCCCTCTAACGCAAACCCCAGAAATTTTCTGTGGTCCGGGTGAATCGCTGCATGAAAGTAAGCGCCTGTTAAATCGATGGTTGCAAACAAATCGCCCGGGCTGACAGAATGTAGAAGTTGCCTGAGTGTTAGCATTTTGAACTTGTATGTTCGTAAAAATGTGTTTTAACACTCTCAGGTCCAGAATCGGACGAAGGCCCCCGTCATTTTCAGACGAAAAAATAATGGCTGTACCAACCTTTGTTCACATCCGAGGCAGGGACCACACATATGGCACCTTTTGCCAGTAACATGTTTATTTCCTCTCTCAAAACCACGGCTGCTTTGATCCCAACAACAGTGTTTACCACGGTGTTGAAAGGAGGCGGCCTTATGCAAAACTGTAGCTGGTAACCCATGGCAACAGTTCTTTCCACCCTAGGGGATGGTGCGCATGTGCGCCAGAGAGAGAGTGGCATCGCTAGGCGACCAACTTGTGTTTGCGCCCTCTGTCGTATGAGAGAGGCGCAGCATTACCTGACTGTCGCCCATAGCTTTTTGATTTATTTGTGTGTAAAGTTTATACTTTGACACTTTTGACACATTTACACAAACTTTAGAAACAGTTGTGCTTTGAACATTTAGTGCACCCAAATTGGGGGCTTTTAGTGCAAACACTATGTGAGTGGGGTGGGACTGGTGCTTGGGAGACTGTGTGAGGGAAATGCAGCACCTCTTGGGGCTGGTTCCCTGAACAAAACAAACAAGATACCTTTTGGGCAGCAGCCGATAGCAGGCGATCATGTCTCCCTGGCCCTGAAGTGACAGTCCCACAGCTAGGAGGACTGTCTTCTTCCTCCGAGGCGTCGAGCCCTTCAGAAGACCCAGAGGGGGGCCCTTGCTCCAAACCGAATGGCGGGGAGGTTGGTCGCGGTTCTGAGGCTGTACTGACTGAGTGCTCAGGCTCCCAGGCAGCACTCTCTCTTAACAGGAGGTGGCTGAGCAGCCGGCTTCTGTGTGCAAGTCTTCGGCCTCGCGTCACATCCGGGGACAATACAGCGCAGGGCTTCAGCCTGCTTTCCCCTCAGCTCAGACTTCGTCTGAATGACGTCGAGAGACTGACCAAATAACCCAGCAGCCATAACTGGTTCATCCAGGTATGCAGCTCGGTCTCTGTCTGGGACATCAGAGAGCATCAACCACAGATGCCTCTGCCCATGGAGAGCGCTGCACAGCGGGACGCATGGAGAATGTAATCCGCTGTGAGTCTGACCTCGTTAAAGAGAGGTAACAGAGGACTCTCGGGCGATACCAGAGCTCCGAGCTCCGCCAGAGACATAGCTTGGTATGTCTGGAGCATGCTAATGGAGCTCAGACCGCGAGCAGTGGTGGTCTGAGCCTTGTAAAATTTTTCAAGCTGCGCAGCAGAAAATCTACACAGAAATACTGCCCATAACCAGGTACTGTGACGCGGGTGGACAGAGGTTTGCTCCAGCAGGACGTCAGCTCCGAGACGATGTCTGGGAACATGGGAAGACAGTTTTTCATCGCGGTTGGTTCAGTGGGGAGAAAAATCCCGCGAACCGCAATGGTTTTTGTTCTGAACCGTATGACGACACAAGGAGAGAAAAGACGTGTCCTCCTGGTCCGCCTCCGCAGCAGTGGGGCATCTAGACCGGGCCAGGTTCCTCGTTGTCTTTCGACAGATGAACATCCAACCCAATATAAACGGCTAACCCCTCCTGTACTCTACTCGGTCCGCCCAGCTGGAAGCGGGGACTTTGACCGACAAATATTCCTCRTCAGACTCGGACGGAACCAGGTTACTGGACTCGGAGGAGTGGGTCTTTTCGTGAGACCACAGTTTCGCCCAGCACTTTTTCTAAGGACTTAACCCGTCCCTCCAGGGTTGAGCGACGAAGCTGGCAGCAAAACGCACATGCTTCGGGATCCACCAACGCTCTCTGAGTGTGAACAACCCCCAGACAGACCGGGCAAGACTCGTGCTGGTCCCTCTCATGGAGCAAGAAGCCGCGCCCACAGGGGCGACCGACGACCTCTGCTCCTTGAGGGGATTTTGTGCTCATCCCGAACCACAAAATATTCTATTTTGTTGAAATGAAAGGCTACTCAAAGCTAGCGCTCCGTGGGCGGACACACTTACCTGTAGGCAGCAGCGGCCAACACCAACAAAAGCTGTTAAGCTAACTTTAAGAGCCTTCCAACAAACAAAGCTAACTAGCTGCAGCTAACTAGCTAGGTTGGAAGAGGTGGGGGTTCTAGCGAGGTGAAGAGCAATAAACTAAGGCGTGACTGTGATGGCGACACTATATACAGTATATATGTGTAGGCGGAGCCTGACATCTGTTGTCATCACGTCACCTGCCTAAAGGCGTGATTAGAGGTGGCTTTAGCCAGGACACACAGGGGCGTGGTTTCCCATACATGATATGTTGTACCGAGTGTATTGACTGAAAGGGAACTATAAATTACTAAAAGCTCCAATTCATGTAATGAACCAATGCTTTGACACAATATATAACTTTGCAAAGAGCTTGTTCAACACTGGCTCTTTAGAGATTTTGTACTAGTAATCAAAACTTGAGCTATAGTAGATGATCAAATGAAGCTCCATTTCTGTTTTTTGTATTGTTCCCCTCATCTTTTTTAAGCACATTTTGGCACAACACTGTCAGATACAATGACAGGAAAGAAAATAAGTGAAAAAGCAGCCAAAACCTGAAGAACTTTTGATCAAGACCACTTTAAAAGGTTGCAAAAAAAAGTTTGGCTGTTTGGAAGCAAAGTATTAAAAAAATAAGAATGTTTCAAGCTTTTGCACAAAACATTTTAGGACATTTCAGATGCGAGAACTAAAATATTAATTTATGTCAACCTGCCACTGAAATCCCACCTGTCATAATTTTTCTTTGTCATCAATTTAAACACAAGTTCACTGTCCACCCAATGGTGTGTGGGTGTGTGTGTGTGTGTGTGTGTGTGTGTGTGTGTGNGTGTGTGTGTGTGTGTGTGTGTGTGTGTGTGTGTGTGTGTGTGTGTGTGTGTGTGTGTGTGAGATAGACAAATGAATTTGTTGACACAGAAACTGTAACCAACCTTCGTGTAGAACTAATCATCTGATATTTCCCCTTCCTTTTTTCTCTCTATGATTTTGGCTGTTTCTCAGAAAAGACATGGTTTATAGATGAGCCAGAGAAAACCCACCTGAGGACCCTGCAGATCAATCCTGTGAATACCCTTGCCGTCAAACAAATCAGTCAGAATAAACCCACAAGCAGCTTGATTCAGCCCATCAGAGAAGCAGAGGACGAGTGCTGACAGCTTGATGCCTGGACTCCCAGAGAGGACTTGTTGTGTTGAGCTGTCAGACTGGAATTCGGGACATCTCATCTGCAAACAGAAATCATCACTTCACATTAGACGAGACGAGAACTGCTTCTTTTCCTTCTTCTTTCACCGCAGCAGCAACTTCATTTGAGCTAATTTTGAACATGCTGACAATCACAGTCAACTGTTAGTTTGCACAATGACCTTGTAAAATCGACCAGATGCTCTAGTTTTAGTTTTTGATGCGAGAATGAGGGTCACTTGAAGAGTAATGTTAAAAAAAAAGACTACCAGAGGTTATTATCACCATTACCAGACATCTTATTCTGTTAAAGTCGCCTTTTTAGTTGTTTATGAACAACCACTGCAGTAAAGTCACTCAGTATTGTTGAATTAATCTGTACAGTTTTTGTTTTACATCCACCCCCACCCCACCAGAATGGCTTAGTTGGTGACTGACTTTCTTTGCCATTTTGAGCTAATTCACAACATTTGTGACAGTTACGACGGCCAGCGGCCATATTTAAATGGCATTTGGCCCCAGCCTTATCTCTATCCATATACACTTGTCTTAGCTTTGCCTTCTAAAGTTTCTAAACGCTTCTTTTTGTTTCAGTCACCAAACTCCCAAAAATGTCTCCAAAGATGAAGATTGTTTTGCCATTTATGATAGAGCTGTTTTGTTGGCGATCTCTCACACCCATCATTACAATGTAAGAGCTTTACAGAAAATTCTATAGCCAGCTTCTACAAAGCGTGGCACAGTACTTTAAAGTCTTTAGGCAAGTTGAACGTTAAAGCCACATATCGCATGAAGTGGGCATCTATAAGTCCTCCCTTGGCTGTAAGCACTGCCTGACACAGGATTGTCTTGGAGGACATGAGGCAACTTGATCGTACTCCATGACCAATCTTAACGCCATAGTCGCTACATTTTGTGGATACTTGACAAACAGCTCTATCATAGAACCAATTTTCATGTGTTCAGACAGCACCTTCATGAATGATCTCTTTTTATTTTGTATATTCATAAAACTAAAGCAGTATGTTTTGAACTGGATACACAGAACGCAGAGTGTCATTGGAATGAATTATGTCTTATATAAATAATGAATTATAGCTATATTGGCACTGTTGTCACTTTACTTCAGGATCTGTGAGTGGGACGGAAATACGAAAGACAACATTAGTCCGTGACATTCTAAATCCACAGATGATGCATCACAGCCTAGTCTAGGATTTGTGTTCCATGTTTTTTTAAACCTGTTGTGACATTTTTGCTGGCACAGAGAACATCCAAGCTGTCCATCCTTCAGTGCCAGTAATGTGCCAGGCAGTGCTGAAGCCAACGGAGGACTCGAGGAAGACCCACTGCTGCGAAAAGGGGCTTCTAGTTTAGCTGTCTAACCACAACTGTGGTAAACAATTTCCAAATGTCTTAAAAACTGATTTTTTTCATCACAATTTTAAAAAGCAATGCATTTGATGTAAATCTGTACATATTCATGTAAAGTAATTATTTGTGTGTGTTCTTGTTTGACAGTAACTGTGGTGTTGAGACATTCAGCATTGCAGACTAATTTCTATCATTTTGTGCAGGTTTTTTTTAAGCACGACTTATCAAAACAATGGCGATCCTAAGATATCTTTCATTACACATAAACACAGTTTATTGTCTTGTGTAAATAGCCTTGTATATAAAATGTACATGATTTCATTTTGTATTTTCACAAATTAAAAGCAGATGTATTGTGTTCTATAGCGTGTCTCGTTATAAATTTGCTCTGTGTAGCTGATTTCTATATGAAGCAGAACACTCATCTTCAGCACTAAAAAAACAAACAAAATAAGGATCATAAAAAGCAGTTTCTGTTTTCCAAAGGAATCAAATGACACCTCTCTGGATAATGGTTGATAAAAACACTTCGTTCACATTCACACCTTGGGGAAAGAGAGAGCCCATTATGTTTGCTTGTTAATGATTTTACACACTGTGGCATTGTGGGAGACTGTCAGCATGCCAATAATATTTACAGTCTAACACCTCCCAGAGAGGCCGATGATGTTTCTGATCCCGCTGCCAGCGGCGGTGTCACCTCTTAGTAAACAAACATGTAGCCATCATTCTAAAAATGTTCTGATTACTGTATCTATCAGCTAGGAATGACAGATGAGGGGTTTTTAAAGTAGATTTTATGTAATAATTCACTACTTATAAATATAAATATGACTTTTCAAATAAAGATGGCAAAAGTCTCTGCTTACATTAAGAATAAACCAGCTTTGTGTTACACTTAACGTCAATGAGCGTCCGTTTGTTTTGAGCCTCAAAAACTTTCAGCAAACATATTCGCAGTGACATTTTTGAGGTTTTACTAGGAAATCCACGTCTGTATTGATAAAAAAAATTGCGTAATATTTCAGATCAAAATTTTCCATTCAACCAAATCTAAACACTCACTTTTGTGATTACAATAATTTTCCACAAAATGCAGTACATATAAAAAATTATTATTTCTGCAGAACCTCTAATGTTGCAAAACACCTTCTTACAGCACAGATGTCAGAGCAAGTGTTTTGAGTTCAGCTGACAAATTTCCAAATTTGAACCCCCTGAATTACATTAACTAAAATGAATCCTAGCTGTGGGTCATACAAAGCGACACAGAAGTGCACAGTCGCCCCAGAAGATGACTCTGGCCGAGCTTCACGAGTGATAACAGTTTCCATGACAATGAAGCACTTCAAGTGCATCAATGCCAGCCTGGATAAACAGTGATCCKTTACCAAAACAAGGGGGTCATTACAGCAGCTTGTCAAATCAATGCTGAGAGTGTCCCGGCTGATTAAGGCGTCCCCTCTCAGTCCTGACACAGTGTCAATACTGGCTGGCCTGTAGCGGCACACTCCCATGATTGGACTGAAATGCCTATCAGTCAGGCAGCTGAGCTGGACTAATGATTCCCTGTGCTGCCTATTAGAGAGACATGACAATTTAATCCTGTGGGCCAGGCGAGGAAAAGTGACCTTGGTGCTTTATATTGAGGCTGAGGTAAATTGACAAGAGCAGATAAATCTTTACCTTGGGCTATTAACAGAATTAAAAAAAAACAACAAAGACAGAGGGTTCCTGCTTTGTTGTTCTGTTYGCTTCTGCCTTTCTTAACCCTGACATAAAAATCATTTAAATTTATGAACAAAACAACAAAGAACCAAAATCTGCTTTGCTGCAATCAATGCAAAGCTTACAGCTARAGAAGAGTTAAATAAAAACCAGTGGTTGAACTCTTCTGCTTTGCTGTCAAGCTGGAATATTAAAATGGGATATTTGCTTGAAGCTCAGTGTTTTTCAGATGTTCAAAGTCATTTCCAGCGTGGCCACAGGGCATGGTGTATTGCCTTGGACATTTATCTTAAGGCTATGATAACATTGTCTACATGGCTGGAAAAAAGCCATGTGTTTACACAGATGTTCCAAGCTTTTAGCACATATCTTCCTGTACCGAGCTGCACCAGCAGCTTCTGTGCCAGAAGCCATATACATTTTGCATCAGTTTCCCCTTTGATACAGAGATGAAGGAGGGCAGGGGAGCTTAGACACAGAATCTAAAACAAACTAAAGATTCTCAAAGATGCATCGGATTTAAATCRAGCACAACTTAACATTTCTGGCATTGTGACTTCATTTATTCCTCTTATTTTGTTTTTGTGACCTGTACACACACAGACAGGGAGAAAGGCAAAATGCCTCTCAGCATTACAGAAACAGAAAATCAAAATGAAAAAGAAAGATGAGAATTTGTAAGAACAAATCACTAGGATCCATCTTGCCTGCGAGGCACCGTTCACAAACTGACCTTTTATCTGAACTGAAACAAACGAAACAAATTTTGCTTTGTTTCATGTTTGCATAAATCAAAACTATCAAATATATATTTTTTTGTCTTTTGTATGGAAGAAACACAGCTCCTCAGGAAATAAATGTAAAGCACACATTAATTTAAAACATCAGTCAGACTAAATTTTATCTGTAAACATTGATCAGTACATTTATTACAGCATTAAAATATGCAAAAAGAAAAAAAAGATCAGTGGTTTGTGAGATATTATTAACTGCGATTCGTGTTTCTGTCAGTCGCCCTGCAGTTAATAAAAATGCCAACCTGCTTGTTGATTTACTTAGTAAAATTTTGCTCCCAAGGTTTCAGGTTGGGAAGATTGGAGCTGGAGAGAGTTGCAGGATTCATGCATTATGCAGAAGAAGATGACACGACCTTCAGCCATCACAGCTTTTCTATATATTACAGTCAACTTGACCCTTCCAAGGCCAGAAGAAGCAGTTGATATATACTGTATAACCACATCTGCCATGAAATTACTCCCATTCCACAAGCGCAACTCAGTTTAAGGAGTGAGTTACACGAGGAGCAGAATTGTTTTGATCAAAGGCAGTTTTACAGTCAGTATTTTGCCGTTTGGGGCACAAGATGTTTCAGATAAGAAACCGCATGTTCATAAGTCAAAACCAAACTAAGGAAACAGCGTTTTCTGCAAAAACGAGGAGTGAATGTCAACTGAATGACATTTTTTAAATTCGATGAAGAACTTGCGTTGTCAAAGCTAAAAAAAAAAGCTAAATCCCAGCTTAAAGAGAAAAGAAACAAAACGCTAAGTTTGAAGCTAGAATTTAGAAGTAGCAAAGCACCAACAGGTAAAAGCTAAAAGTAGCAAAATGCAAACCAAAAGCTAAAAATAAGTAAAAAAGTAGTTAAACGTATCAAAAGATAGCTTACAAGCTAAAGGTATCAAAAGGTCTGTAAAAACTAAAAGTAGCTAAATTTTCAATAAGAACAAGCAAATGCTCTTTGATAAATATTTGCCTAAAATAGCCCTAACTATAATATGTAGAAGTGATAAGACTGCAGAAACAAAACAATTAGGGAAAGATAAAAAGCAAGAAAACACTAGTGTGAATGCTGAATCAGCATACACATAACTAAGTGAAAAGATGTCCTGTGAGGCTTCTCTGCTTCACCAGATGTCGGCCATATGTTGGAATGAGAAAACTCGGCTGTTCTGTATCAAACAGAACACATCATAAAATGATGGGAAATAAAAACCTGTTTTACAGTGTGACGTCCATTTTTAATATGATTCCATTTGGAGTTTTTTATGACACTAATTGCAGCATTATCGACTGGCTGTCGGCTCTTTTGGACTTGCAGTCCATTCTTCTTTTCAAGCAGCGCCAGCTCAGCCTAAAGTAGACTGACAAGCTAATTATACCATCTTCCCTCTCAGTGATAAATGCCACTAACATGAGTCTGGCCTAGAAATTCAACTCCGTGCCTTTAAAAGTTTCCAAAATCAAACTGTCTGATAGGGATGCCTCACTCTTCTTATTTTCCTCTTGACTTGATCACTTTTAAAAATCAGTTATTTCATCTCCTGCCAACATTAAAGTTAGGCAATAATGTACAAAAAATACCTGTGTGCAAAAAATCTTAGGAACCACAGGATTTATTTGAATAAAACTCAAAAAATCAACCCAGCCCAAGATGGTCGCAACAGCTAAACACAAAAATGATCGGTTACAGATTATAATTAAACTCTCACTAAAATATACAACCAATTAATTCTTGGAGTCATTCTGATTTAAGATGGATGTCATAGATTAATAAATTCAGCAACCACACAAACATATATAACACAATCAGTTGCTTTTAACCCTCAGAGTTCAGACAAACTTTGACCTGAAGAATCCTTCAAACCGTCGGACAGACAGACGTTTGCAATGACAACATTTAAATGTCACACTGACTTTGTTCCACTGCAACACAACAACCAAGCTGCAAATAAATGAAATATCAAATAAAATTAGCCTGGGGTAATTCTCATTTACATTATTGCTGCTACTGTTTATCAGAGCATCCAAATTCACTTTTAGAAATGCCTTCAAGCCACCCACTTCATGTAAAGATGTTATAAAAAGCTGAGTTTTCTCCACAGCCCTGCCTACACACTTTAAATGACTGCTGCATACTTAATTTTCTCAATGTTTATAGTATGTTTTCCTGCCAAAGCGTTTAGACGAAGAACCAGGGCAAACACCAAGAACATTTTCCCGTCAATCAACCCAAAGTTTTTCATAGAAATTCCCCCCCTTTTAATGATGCTGTTAATGTATTCCGACTTCTCATCRGCTGAATCCTGACAACAATGAAAGCTGACACATACCAAACTTGGTATGTCCCAGAGCCATCTTCAGTGGCTGGGATGCTGTCAGCTCCACCTACATCAGCGACGGTGTCTTGATGGTAGCGTGACACATGTCACAAACTTTTACATGTCTGCTCTTTTCTGCACAGACCTTCTCCGTCTCTAAAGATGGTATTTTGTGTGTGTTTGAAAGCTGGTTGAAGCATTTAGATTTGCTCTGAAATCGACATCGTATCAAACATGAAGCTTGTTCTTGGCTAAACCATCTAAACCCTAGTATTTTTGCCATTCTTTTAATMTTTTACATATGTATTCTACCAATTTCCTGCAGTTAATTGCCTTAATTGCTCTGCAGCTTTCTCAGATTCAGCCRTGAGATTAAAAAATTAATTAAAAAAAGCCTACAAGTTGGACATCTGAACAGGAAAAGCCGTCTGCAAAGAGTGCACACGCCTTGTACATCCAGACACACATCTGATCTTTAACCTCCTTTGATCAGCAGTTTTGGCAAGGCAATCCATCATGATGCTCTTACTGTCAGA